CTGTTCAAAATGCTACCAACTCATCCTTCTTCAAACCTATGAACTCATTATCTAACTTTTCAAGGAACATTGGACCACTTTAAACCTATACACCTATGTCTAAACTTTTATTTCTAAAGTGAAGGGATCAAAGAATTTTCAGCATGAAAATCGAGTTTAATTTGCAGCATGTGTTGTTGGAGATAGTTGAAGGAGAACAAGTGTTGGTGATAGGGTGAAATAAAAAAGCAAGGACTTAAAACTTTATATGTCTTGAGAAACTTTTGTTGCCCGACTATGACAAGCTTCAATTGATTACCTTTGCTTTCCACATTTTATCTTCTGTTTCCATGAAATCTGTCAAATACTGAATAAAAGAACAAATTACAAAAATTATATTACTGAGACAGATGTCAATGCTTTCAATGTGCTTTGTTTTACTTTAACACTTGTAAACATTATATACATATAGAGCAAGCATGTCAAAACTCAAAGGCTAACACGGGCCAAATAAACAAGGTTTAGGTTTATGTGGGCCGCAAAATACCCCCCAAAAAACAGCTTTCATAGAAAGGTCAGTTTATTTAGAAAAGTACAGTATAAAAAAAAGTTGCCTAACTGACACTGGATGTCCTCACGCTCGTAGGGCTTCAAAGTAAACAAAAGAGCAAACTTTAATTAAGGAGACATGCATTAGCATATAAACAATGTTTCAGTCCAACTACCTTGACATATTAAGAAATGTTTAGCAATGGGACTGGAATGGTGAATGTATGCTGTTGCACAGCTGTAAAACACAAATGACATTATCTTGTTGATTTTGAAGTCCTATGAGTGTGTTCTTCACTTTGGCCGAGATCATCAAACTTGATGATTTCAGCCAATCCAATGCTTTCCCATAGGAAATGTCATATTTTGTCATGTCATGTCATAATTTGTAAATCACATTATGTTGTGACTGTGCAACAAAGTTATTTTTTAAAATATTTTTTATATGCATAACACATAATGTATCTGAGAACAGTTGAGCCACAGGCTTTAAGTCCACCAGCACATAAACTGTATTTTCTAGCCTACATTCTATTCTGCTTAATGTTTGGTTTACATGCAACTAACTCTATGGTTTATTTTCTATTGCCTGTTTTTCCTGTTGGGGTGTGTGCTTCCTTCCTGTATCTCCTGAAACATGGCTGCTATACACTAATAGCTTGCAGTGTCTTTATTTATATCACCTGAAACATGGTGTCAGCAGTACCTGAACCTGGTCTGCTCTCACACACGTGATGCCAGGAGCTTGCAAGTCTTGGAGTGAGAGAATTTTTGGAAGTGACTGTGCCTCCTGTAGCAATTACATTACTGCTACTACTGTTCTGCAAGCTGAGCATTAGGAGCAAGAAAACCAGCATCATGGCCCCTGCTCATAGCATTCCACTACCTGAGGCAATGAGGGTGAGTGGGGATTGCAGCAGAGACTGGGATAACTTCAGAGCTGAGGTTGAGGATTACTCCCTGGCTACAGGGCTGAATGAGAAGCCTGCAGCAGTGCAAGCAGCCACACTGAGGAGGGTGATGGGCAGTGAGTGCTACCATGTTTACAAGCATAATTTGAACCTCACAGAGGAGCAAAATAATGACACTAAAGCCATCCTTGATGCATTGGAAGCCTTCTTCAGACGTGAAAAAAAATATAATATATGAAAGATATATATTTGGCAGCTGCAAGCAAGAAGAAGGTGAATCAATAGACAAGTTTGTCACAAGGCTAATAGAAAAAGCTGCAAGCTCTGAGTATGGCTCCTTGAGAGATGAACTTGTTTGTGACAAAATAGTTCTAGGTATTAATACTGAGAGTACCCGCCGCCGTCTATTGAGGGAACATGATTTAACCCTACAAGCGGCAATTGAGATATGTTGTACTGCAGAACTTACTGACAAACATATGAGAGCTATGGAGCAGGATGAACAGACTGACGGCATCCATGCAGCCTTCAAGCAACAGCTAAGCTTGAAGAACCACCAGCACAAGCATCAACACCTCACCTGTGAGCAAGTCTACATAATGTAAGTACTGTGGCAGCATACATGTGAGAGAGAAAGAACAGTGTCCTGCATATGGGAAAACATGTAGATCATGTGGTAGGCTAAATCATTTTGCTGGAGTATGTCTGTCAAGAAGGAAGCAAGGAAGCTAAACACAATTGAACACATGTCTGATTCTGAGGATGCGCTCCTGCTTAGCAATGATGTGATTTACCCAAAGGAATGCATTGGTGCTGTAAAGTCTAAGGGCAGCAAATGGTTTGTAAATATCAGATTGAATAATATATGCCAACCCTGCCAGCTGGATTCTGGTGCAACATGTGATGTCATGAGTTTGAAAGACAAGATGAAACTGGCACCTAGGGCACCACTTCAGCCCAGCAGCACCAAGCTGAAGCTATATTCAGGAGAACTAATGGAATCATTGAGACTTTTCCAAACAGAGTGCAGCATACGTGAAAAAATACACAAACTTGAATTTGAGATTGCCAATCAGAAACCGCTATTGTCCAGTTTAACATGTGAGCGCCTGGGACTGTTACAATTCACAATTCCTGCTGAGCTGCACAATGTTGATTTATTAATACTAAAAGAGGGAGATGTTCTGTTTGGTTTACATGCAACCAACTCTATGGTTTATTTTCTATTGCACGTGTTTCCTGTTGGGGCGTGTACTTCCTTTCTGTATCTCCTGATACATGGCTGCTATACACTAATAGCTTGCAGTGTCTTTATAACTCCTGAAACATTTAGGAGAGTTGAATTTGGTGACAGTGGTCTAGTCGTATTTTGATAACAAGCCTTTCAATTTAAAATTACTATTTTGGATGATTAATATTTAGCTGTGGTTATGTAATTGTTTAAAGAGTATCTTCAACCCTTTTTAGGACATCTCTTTGTTTAATTTACAATGTCCTAAACTCACAGCGCTGCACTCCACACTCTAGTGTAATTGGAACCATTGTGAGGTCTACGCAAATGCTTCTCCTGGACTGTTTTATTGGCTCAGAGTGCATGTGCACTCTCTGAGCCGGTAAAGTGAGTGGGGAGTGAGAGAACTGAGAGCAAGGCTATGTCTGCTGACAACAAACTCAGTTTTTAAACAGATTTGATATTGATAGAGTTCCAGGCCGCCTAAGTCACGTGTGCCGCTGGTGCAACTAGCGCCCAAAACAAAAGTGCAGATTTGTCTGTATTTGAAGCGCCTTAAGCAAAAATGCTGCATATTCAAAACTCCTGCCAACATCTCCATGGTGGTTGGAGTGACCAAGTAATTAAGGTTTTTCATTATCACAGTAAAGCAATAGAAATATAAAATAAAAAGCACTGACACATTTCAACCAGTAAAGTTCCTAATTTTTAAAGGAAGGTTGGCGTGCTTTTCCGTCCCCATTTGCGAGCTCTTTTGGAAGTCCATTTTCTCATTTGTCACTTCCGGTATTCAGCATTGGCATCTGATGTCATTCCACAAAACAACAGAAGTAAATAACAGAAATTCTATTCATTTTAATTTTATTTCAAATACAAAGACTTACACAAGATCATAAACACAAATTGGCATATTATAAAACTGGAAAATGATACTGCCAACTTTGTAGGAGAGAGACGCAAGTTTACTTTTAGAGGGGAAACATTTTTAAACAGGTATTAACCAAATGTTTGATAGATAAAGAGATTAATTTTATAGAAATATTTTTGTTAAAAGAGATGATTGTTATTATTGCAGAGATTGTATGGATGTAAATGAAATAATAGAAAAGAAAAAGTTATCATAAAGAATGTAACCCGATTAAAACTCATAAACAATATAAAGTTACCTATAACATGAGAAACATAATTTAGATGCTAACTTGCCCATGTGGTTATCTGTATATCGGAACAACATCAAGGGTTTTAAAATAAGAATTAGGGAACATATTGGTAACATTAAGAGAAGATTTTCAAATCATGTTTCGATAATTCCTGAATTCCATGAAGGTGACAGTAGTGGTTTAAAGTTATTTTGTATAGAACAGGTTAATACTCACTGGAAAGGAGGGAACAAAGAAATGAATTTAAGTAAAAGTGAAATGAGATGGAGGAAAAGTGTGGCAAAAGCCTAAAGAAAGATGGTGCTGGAGGCCTTAACATAAAGATGCTTCAGTGCGGAATGGTGTCAGCTGCCAATGTGGGATACCGGAAGTGAAGAATGAGGAAACAGATGTCCAGAAAAGTGTGCAAAAGTTCACCAACCTTTCAACTAACCATGCACTTTGAAAGAGACCTTTATTGGTCGAAACACGTCTATGCCTTTTATTTTATATTTCTATATCGCTGTGTTTGGCCTGGATTCTTTTTTTTTTTTTTTTTACCTAAAAAAAAGTTTTTCCTATTTCCCTTATGCTCACTCATTTATATGAAACACTGAGGAGATTGTGTGCAAATAGTGTGCTCCTACTCATGTGAAGTGCTATGGGTTGACTTTTTTTTCCCCAAGAAGCCAGCTAGTAAATCAACAACTGACTTAATACACATAACCCGAGATATTATCATCTGACTATTTTACAAATTTACTGGAAGTTCCAGTAGGGTTAGGGTTAGGGTAGGGTGTGTGTGTGAAGGGTATAGTGTGTGTGAGGGGTGGTGCTATGTGTGTGAGGGATGCAGAGTTTGTTTGGGAGCAGATTGTGAGGTGTGCAGAGTGTGTGTATATGTGTGAGGGGTGCTGAGTTTGTGTGTGGGGTAGGGTGCAGTGTGTGTGTGAGGGGTGCATAAGCTTAAGTGAGCATATGTATATTTATTATTTGGGGGGAAAAAACATGAGTAAAAGCTTTGTGTGTCCCCCACCCCCCTTCTTCTTACCTTTATCCAGGGAGAGGAGCACACCTGGTGGTCCAGTGATGATTGGTGGTCTTTAGCATGCAGCTCTTCTGGCTGCAAGCTACCACCTGTACTTCTCCCACAAGGTGAGTGCGGTGTCGGAGCTTTGCCATGGCAACGCGCAGCAATGCTCCAATCATCATTCTCGCAGGAGGAACTTCCTCCCAGCTCCCTCCTTCTTTCCTGTCACCGACGAAGGGCCTCTTGGGCCGGTGAGGGAGATCCTTAATCTCCTCACTGGCCCGAGACGGCCCAAAGCATCTGAGCAGGGCCGGCGCTCTGTGGGCTGGCAGGGGCCCCTATGCTTGTGGGGCCCCAGGCAAGTGCCCAGTGTGTCCATGCGGAAAGACGACCCCGATGTATCTGTTTCATAATAGTAACATGTAAAGTTTGGATTTGTATACATTTCCAGGAGTCTCCTCATGTTGCAGTCATTATAGTGAGGGAAGAACCATTAAACATGTTCCACAAAATGACTATTCCCGGGGAAGGAAAAAACAAATCCACAATGCATGACCATTCAATTCTTGAATCTTGCAAGACATTTACCCATTAAACATTAAAATAAATAGGCAGGCAATGTGATATTTCATTAGCAGAAAAATCTTTATTGTGAAAAGACACCATTAATGCAATGCATTTTGAAGTAAACAGCCTTAGGCATGCATACAGAAGTTGCAAATCAAGTGCATGTAAATACATAAAATACCAGATAAAGCCAGTCACATGACACATCACCCGATTAAATAAATCACTTAATATATATGTTGTAGACGTGCAATTCTTTTCGTTCAGAATGTAAATTCGGACGAATTTCGGCAATTCGGACATTTGGATGTTTCCGAATTTCCAAAGTGCCGAAGTGCGTCGGATTTCTGAAAAGTGGCAAAACAAGAGAGGGAGGGAAAATGATGTTAATGATGATAGGAATCTAGACCAATAAGCTAATTCCTGGCACTGGAAGTCCTATAGATGTGTAAGTGGTTGTGGTGCCAGTCCGGGCACCTAACCCTTCCCCTAACCCTACCTCCACCCCTAACCCTACCCTTGTCCTAACCCTAACCCTGCCCCTAAACCTACCCAAACCCTAACTCTACCCCACCCCTAACCCTAGATGTGTAAGTGGTTGTGGTGGTTAGGGGTTAGGGTTAGATGTAGGGATAGGGTTGGGGGTAGGGTTAGGGAGCCCTACAGATGGGTTGGCACACCAGATGTTTTTTGGACAATAATGGCATTAATATAAAAAGAAAAAGAGATCAGTGCCAGCCCATCAGTTGAAATAAAGACATGTTTATTAAACTAATTCTCTATGATGCAAGTATGTTGTGGTTGTTCTTCTTCCTATATAGCGTTCCTGGAACGTAACGTGCATTCCAATGTGTTGGCATACAATAAAGACACAAAGAAAAACCTAATGTTTGTAACTCAGATGTGTTCCACTAGATTGGGACACAACAATTGTCTAAAATACATATCTAATATATGATTATTATAGTATAATAGTATATAGTGGCAATTAAAATGTCTTTACATCTAAAGAGCAAACATAAATAAGCTTCTATAAGGTAGGGCGTAGTAGGGAAACAAAAAAGGGGTTACACTCCATAGTTCAATTGAATATTATTTTAAAATTTTCAGAAAGGTTCTAAAGATAGGTGGGTGAGGTTCCTATTTTTTCAAATCTGTGGGTACAGTTTGAAAAACATGTTATAGATATTACAATAAAATATTTTTAAAAAGCCTTATAGTAATATTAACTTCTACTGATATAAAAGTGTTTTATTTTAAAAAATGGCACACCTCAAAATCTTGTTTCAAGCCATAGGGTATCAATGTATTGAAATTTTTCTCCTATTCTTTTATTAAAATCTCCCTCTCTCCAGTCTTTTTTTGAACTAGTTTTAAGAACTGTGAGAACAGGCCTACAAGATTTTGGTTGTGACATCATTTCAAATGATGTGTCCGGGATTTGGTCCTAAAACTTATTTTTATTAACATATTTTTCATACACCTGCATCCTCTATATACTAGTTTTGGATGAATGGGTAATCTATTTTTTAAAATAGGATCATCTTTTTGGAGCCTTTTTCCACAAATTGATGTTTAATATTTTTAGCTTGAATTGTATAGTCTAATTCTTGTGTACAGTTTCTTCCTATTCTCAAGAATTGGCATTAATTAACTATGGGGTGTGGTGACAACTCTGTTTTTCAATGTAACTATTGGCATCTACTTCCTTAAAATAATTCTTGGCTTGGTTCATTGAATCTTTAATAAAATATTAAGATCTAAAAATGTTATGAGGCAAGTGCTGTGCATAGTAATTAGGACAATCCCCCAATCTTTATTGTTAAGGTATTGTAAAAAAAAGTTTAAGATTGGTTTCACTACTTTTCCAGATAAAAAAATACATATACAATTAAACGACAATATGCCACCAAGTCTGCAAAAAAAGTGCTGTAGAGGATAAACTCCTAGAACGCCGTAACTGGGTGCGAACTGTAACTGGATGAGTAGGATGATTTATTGTTACTGATAATGTTTTATCATTGTAATTGTATGAAAATTGGTCACTGGGGAGGTTTCTAAGGAAACAAAACACGTAGGACCGGTGATCTACTACTGTTTTTATAAATTTTTATTAGTTGAATTTGTTTACATTAAATAAATCAGTTTTATACTTACCTACCCGATTCCTAAATTTTGATCAGGAAAGCTACAAGTTGACAGAAGATCCAGACCTCCCTTGTAAGGGAAGGCATCTTTATCACTTGGAGTCTGTGGGTTCTATATGAAATGGGGGCACTGTTAGCATCACCATAAGTGTTGCACTATTATGTGTTATTTTTATTCTAGGTATTCAGCAGTATCCTATATTTCCTGTACTATAAGATGAGCACCCAATCTGCTGGTGGTACTTGGCATAAGTGGCACTGCCGCTCGAAGTCCTGTAAGAACCTATCTATTTCTTCCTCAGTTTTCACAAAATTTTTGAAAGCATCATTTGCTTTACCTCCAGTGCCTGGGTGGTAGCTATAAGTTTCTATAGAGAGTGCTGTTCGACTAGCCGGAGTTGGTTCTCCCGGTCTGTCTGTGTTGTCAGATAGGATTCTACTTGTGCAATGGTTGTTGTGATGATCTCCATTGGGGGGTTTCTCCCCGTAGAAGGCTTGTTGGCATTTCACTTCCTGGTCACATTCTATTTCCATATTTACGGATTCTTCGTTGCAGGACCGGTCTTCCTCTAGTAGCTTTGCTATAAATGTTGCATTGGTTTTGTTGCTGGCTATCTGCCCTCTTGCTTCTAGCAACTCTTTCAATTTCGAACCGCTCCTTACTTTCCCTGCGAGGCTTGTATCTCGCCGATTGCCACCAATTGTAGCGGAGCTCCGATACCACGACTAGGTATCTCTGCTGTTCCTTCCTCAAAGCTGAAAGAAGCACTGTAATAATCCAAGGCCCTTTCCCCCCAGTAACTAGACAACACATAGTTCTGGGAGTCAACTGATTTTATTTTGTCCACACATGGCTTTTATTCACTGACCCCTAGCATGGGGTTTCCATATCAAAGTTACACAGGTTTTACTCCCAGGAGTCTCTGATAATTGAGTGGGAAAACTGTAACTCAATTATCTCTCAGTTACAGGAAAACATACCATATTTATAAAACACTCCCAAAATTACATATTAATAACATTGGAACCCCACAAAAGTCATATCACCGAATAGCTTGTGTCTGAGCGCCCACTTTGTCGAAATAGCGCTCAGATTCCTTCGGTGGTTCGGGAACGCCATTCGAATGACGTTTTGACCGGTCGGCCACGAGGTGATTCCCCCAAATAGTTCCACATTAAACAAGATAATGACCAATCATCCTTTTGGGGTTCTCACATGAACGAATGCTCCCCCTGTTTGCTACTTCATGTTTCCCGAACGCCTTTCTCCTAACTGTTCGGGTAGTTGTAGGGGCAGCGGTACAAGTTCCCCGGGTGTGTTCACGGGGTCGCGTATCCGAGATACATTTCCATGCTGGAGACGACCATGTACAGCTACCTGCGTTCTGGAGACAAAATGGCCACCAATTCTTGGAGCACGTGGATTCGTTTATACGAACGGCGGCCACATAGATAAAGTACTTGAACTAATTGCTCATTTGTGGTCAACAGCCAGGGGTGGTCGTGATTAGGAGGTGTTAACAAGGGGACCACACAGAGTTGATTCGGTAAACGGACGAGGGGTGTGCAGACAGCCGAACAGCCAGGAATAAGTGTATTTAGGGCATCCATTCCACTACATTTATCATGTCCCAATAGTTACATAGTTACATAGCTGAAAAGAGACATGCGTCCATCAAGATCAGCCTTTCTCACATTTGATTTGTGCTGTTGATCCAAAAGAGGGCAAAAAAACCCAGTCTGATGCGGTTCCAAGTGTGTAACATACTGGGGGGGAAAATCCTTCTTGACCCCAGAATGGTAGTAAGAGATCTTCTTGAATCAATAAGCTATAACCCCACTAATTAAAATTTATATCCCTGTATATTATGTTTTAGCAAGTATTTCTCCAATTGCTGTATAGACTCTGATAAAACCACTTCTTCAGGCAGAGAATTCCACATCCTTATTGTTCTTATTGTAAAAATCCCTTTCTTTTGCCTTAAATTAAATCTCCTTTCTTCCAGTCTAAATGCGTGACCTCTTGTCCTATGTATAGTCCTATTTATGAATAGATTTCCGGATAATGGTTTGTGTCAAGGGTTGCTAGGCTATTGTCAATGTGCCTTCACTCCTCTACTCGTCCTTGTTCCAGATGTGCTTAGTAGTGTTATAACTCTTTTAATCCTTGTAAAAATCCTCTAATATAGTGGACACAACCAGTCGTATTGGGTATAAGAAGTGTTTTTATTCAGCCAAAAGTATACAAATTTATACCCAGACAGCCAGCATGGGGTCTCTATTCAGAAACACTTAAGCCCGCCCAGACGCCTCTGTGTCTGGGAAATAATTGAGTTGATACTCTGTAAAATAATTATCCCCCAGATACAGAGAGTGTATTTTTGAGTTTGTCTGACATTGTCTACCTGTGAATGTGCCAGAGAGTGTGTACCTGACAATGAGTGCGTAAATGTGTATCTTTGTGGGCATGTATATGTTTGTGTCTGATACCATGGGGAACTGTATGCGGAGTGCTGTGTGTATGGGGTCTGATTGTGGTATGTTTATGGAAAAGCAGTGACTGTGTGTGTATGATGACTGTCTTCAGGGGTTAACTGTTCCAGGGTGACTAAAGGGGTAACTGTGGCAGGGTAGGCGTGACAGGGTAAAGGGGTTGAAAATGGTAGGGCTTAGGGGGTGAGTGTGAAAGAATGAGGGAGGTTGAGTGTGACAGATTACGGGGGGTGAAAGTGACAGGGTTGGGGGATGAGTGTGGCCTATAGTTCCTCATGACAGTATTTTATTTTATTCATAGAAAGAATTAGATATAGTTTATAAAATACATTTTGAGAAGACTCTCCATAATAGTTTGTGCACTGTTTGATAAATGTATAGATTTATTTTTCTCTCTCCTCATTGTCTCCTGTTCCAGGGTGACTAAAGGGGTAACTGTGGCAGGGTAGGTGTGACAGGGCAAAGGGGTTGAAAATGGTAGGGCTTAGGGGATGAGTGTGAAAGAATGAGGGAGGTTGAGTGTGACAGATTACGGGGGGTGAAAGTGACAGGGTTGGGGGATGAGTGTGGCCTATAGTTCCTCATGACAGTGTTATGGCGATCAGCATGCTTTCCCATTTTTCTCAACTAATTTAGAGGATATAACAAAGTCTGCAATGTACCATCAGTTATGCCACCAAACACATTTTTATAAACATTCATGAAATATAAGAAATAATCTCTATTCAGGATGACATTAACCTATCCAGGTATCACCAAAACTCTTAATTCAATGGCTAAAAATGTATATTTGTCTACATTAGATTGACAATAATGATAAAAAAAATCCTCTTAACACACTTGAGTCTAGTACCAAAAACAGCCACCACCAAGGCAATTTATTAATAGAAGGCCTTAAGTTACCCACCATATCACATTTAAAATACCACAAAATGTATCAATATCAATTTAATACTGTAAAACATTCTCTCTTCAGATAATGTGATTCTTATATCAGAAAAAGGCACAATATAGGAATGAGACATTTTTTACTAAGATTTCACTAAGGATTTTGTTTTCTCATGTAATTTACAACACCACATTATATGCTTGAAAATATGAGTAGTGAGTAATTTTCACTTACTATCATGAGTTTTATTCATACTTTAATGGGTTAATATTAAAATTAATATTTTATTTTATTCATAGAAAGGATTAGATATAGTTTATAAAATACATTTTGAGAAGACTCTCCATAATAGTTGGTGCACTGTTTGATAAATGTATATATTTCTTTTTCTCTCTCCTCATTGTCTCCTGTAATACACCCCTTTCTCCAAGTTTAACTATTTAGATATGCTGGATTGAGTGTTTGATGAGGGTGGAGTTAGGATGAGAAAGAAGTTCTTCAGCCTTAAATAGTTTCCCCGCCTTGAGATTTCAAGTGAGATCTCATTTATGGGCACTAAAACAAAAAGTGTCATGAATAGATTCCTAATGTGTATTTCTATTAATGTTCAGGGACATAATACATTTAAAAAAATATATTATACATTGTATAATTTATTTTAAAAAGAGCAGATAGACGTTGGAAGAGAGATGATACGGTAAGGTGTGGAGATATATTATATCGAGAAGTAATTCATGCTTCTATGTTAAAGAAGAAAAAAGAGGGATGGCTATTATTTTCTCAAATACAGTTCAAGTAGAGATTATCCTTTAAGATCTGGATTAAGAGGGCCGATACCAGTTATTGCTTTGTAAGTTAAATTCTCTGATTTATACATTAGTAAAGATACCTATCTCTTTTATAAACTACAAAATGTTTGGGGAAAAGCATGGAGATATTGGATAAGGTTAAAACGGATATATTGATTATAGCTGGGGATTTTAATTGTGTTCCAGATGTTGATTTAGATTTAAAAAAAAAAAGATGAAATAGTCTGCAAGTCTTTTTAATATCCTGAAAATAAACAATTTTTTCGATATATGTCGTGACTATTATACACCAGAAAGAGACTATACACATTTTTCTAATGCCCATCAGTCATTTTCCAGAACTGATTTAGCAATAGGATAACCAAGATAACTTGGTTGAACAGATTCTTAATATCTCTATTAGAGAAAATATTTGGTCATACCGTAGCTATATATTTAACTCAAAGATTCTAAAAAATGTAAGCCATTAAGAACCTAGCGGCTGAAATTTTTGTTTAAAAAAATCCAAACAAGATCATATTAAAAAACTGACTGATTTATAGTTTAAAGAAAATTCATCCATGGCTTTATCATATTTAACAATATGGTGCACTTTTAGAGTCATCATCAGAGGCTATCTGATTAAACTAAAAAAATCAAATTAAAGGGAAAGCAGTGCCTCCATAGTGGAGTTATTTTTAAAATTTGATAGATTGTCTAGAATTTATGTTTGTTGACTAATGATAATCAGCGACAACTTAAAGAGGTACAACAAAAAATATATTTATTAGAAATGGAACGTATAAATAAAAATGTGGAAAAATTAAGATTGAAATATTATTATAAAAATAACATTTCTAAATGGTTAACAGATAAGTTAGAAAAAAAGAACTGCCAATAATAGGATTAATTGCATAGCTAGCTGATGCACACAAAAAAAAATATGACTTCGGAGAAGATAAGAAATGCTCTTCACAAATTTTCCAAAAAAGCTTTATAATTTGTCAAACAATTCAGCTGATGAACATATTATGAATAATCTCAACAATATGGATATCCCCAAACTCACCCAAGAGCAAAAATCCTTGCTTAACATACCTTTAACACAAATGGGTTTTAGTAAAGCTACAGACAAACTAGTTAATTTTAAAACATCTGGATTAGATGGCTTTACAAATAGACTTTAAATCTATAAGAATTCATTATCTGAACATCTATTTAATTTATATAATGAGATAGTTATGGCCAAGCCAAGATCAAGCCAACCATCAACATCGGCAGTCACCTAAATTACTGTTCAAATTACTGATGGTGTTTGGGCTTCCAGTGGCTTTTAAGATCAGAATTCCCTACTTGTCATGATGGCTAAATGGACATTTGCTCATTACCTTTACTTTTAACACCACCAGATGTTTCACTTATTTTATTTTGTCCTTTTCCTTCCTTTGCTTTCATTAACCGTATTACAGGCATAATTTAGGCAACGCTTGTCGGCCAATCCAGGAATGCGGTGGGACCAGATGGCCCTGTCACTATGGATGAAACTGATGATGGCACAAAAGGCAACCCCCTTTTTCACCGTTACCACAAGTGTTTCAAGAAAGGGAGGGGGTATATTTGGGCCACAGCCCACTTCAGCTGGGGTTAACACCAGTGAAGGTCAGCGCAATGGGGCCTTGGCTAAGCCGCTAAGCTAACTGCGGGTGTTTTTTTTTTATTCCATTCAGGGAAAGGGTTGTCATTTGTCACTTTCTCAGTCCTTCAGTACCCAGGGATAGTGCGGGAAAAATTGTTTAAGGAGGTGTAGCTGGGGAAGATGGGCGCAGTACTAAGCGCGCATAAGGTAACATTTCGGGAGGTGCAGTCGCTGCTTGGAAGCCTTAACTTTGCATGTCGCGTGATTCCCATGATTCCCTATTATGTTCGGGTCTCTCATTCCATAAAGGAGGATTTGTGGGTTTGGGATATTTTTCTTCTAAACTTTAACGGTCGGGTCTTCTTTCGGGGCCCAACAACGCTGTCTGCAAATGGTTCACAGATGCGTCTAGCAGAGTGGGTTTTGGTGTGTATTTTGACGGACAGTGGTGTGCACCGCAATGGCCAGTAGAATGGATGGGGAAGCCAGTGATGGGTAACCTTGCTTTCCTAGAGTTGTTCCCATAGTTGGTTGCTTTGTCATTATGGTGTGAAGAACTGAGAAACAAACGGGTGCTCTTTTACACAGATAATATGGCTGTGGTTCATGCCATTAATAGTCTGTCGGCATGCTTCGGCATTTTGTGTTGTTTTGCATGTCTCTGAATATTGTATTCAGGGCACGACACTTGCCCGGTTATCTGAACGTGGTGGCACCAGGAACATGGGACGCTTACGTCAAAGTCTGGAGGTCTTGGGGTGTACTGGGGGGCAAAATTCCAGAGAAGAGTGTTTAGATTCACTCTTG